CAAGAAGCTACTAGGAACAAGTGCATCGCTTCTAGTAACAAGTGCCTTACTAGTAGTAACAAGAAGCTACGTTCGGGGCTCCTGGCCTCGCGACTCGAACGGAGCGTTCGAACGCTAGTAGCTCAGTCTGGTGACCCTCCTTCCGGCCCGGGGCGAATGAGAAGGTTGGGGTAGCCACCCACGTCAAGGGATGAGAAAAAAACCGTTGAGGAGAAGGGAGCAAAAGGCAGCAAAGCTAAGTCATTAAAACAACAAAGAATTGCATTTGTGTATCAATGTCTTAGATCGATTCTTACTCATCCCATGGTTTGTCGAGATGGGTGTTGAAACATAACTGATTGAAGCGTACCTACTACAATAAGAAAGCCAACCTTCTTGGTATGCTTTTGCTGGTCTTCCATATTCGTTGCAGCGGGGACAAAGATCAAACTCCATGGAAAGTGAAAATGCTATCAAATTGATAAAGAGATTTTAAAGAAGAATCGGGTTTCAAAAAGCTGTTGTGTATTGCATCAAAATATGTCCTATCCCGTGTATCTCAGCCCAACACATGAATGAACGCCCTCAACTGAGCCACCCCAGCCTTTACGTCGAGCAAAGCTTTCTCACCAAAAATTACCTCTTACTCCTTCTTTCCAAGGCTTTACAAAGAAACCACAAGACAACGAAAGAACCATTTAAAAAACTTATATTTGTGTATATGTGTCGCCTTCCAAGGCTTTACAAAGCCTCCCGCACCCAGCCAAACAAAGAGGGGTTTTCCGCCTTTGCGCATGGAACCCAGGCGGCGGGCGCCTCGGTGATTTGCGCCTCGGTGGACACGTCGACACGTCGGTCGGACGTCGACAGAGAGCTTTTACGGCGCTGTCGACAAAGAACCGAAGATGGTCGAACGCGATGTGCTGAAAGCCATCCAAAAGATATATGTGGTGCGTAATTAGATGTGTTTTGCTTCGGCTGGGCTCTTTTTCGGGATTTGCAAGTGCGAAGGAAGCCAGATCGGAATAGGAAATCCTGCGGGAGGGACGTGAGTGTGAAAGATGGATTGCTCAGTGACGGTTCTTTAAGGAGAGTTCTTCCAGTGCGCAAATCGAGTTTGTCCACTGGACAAGACTGGAAGTCCAAGTCCAAACTGGAGCTCAGTTGGAGGCCGTCGCTAGTAGGTGGGAGGCCATCGCTATGAGGCGGGAACTGAGCAATCAGGTGGTTCCAGTGGCTCCATGCTCTTCTTTCAGCCCTTTGTCCGGCAGAAGACCAAGCTGCCAGTGACTGAGATGAAAAGCTAGCTATGAGGCAACCTCGTCCTGGCCAGATGCTAGACAGCCAGCACAGAACGTTGCTAAATGCTCCCCCTTTCAGAAAGTCATTTGGACTTGATCCAAATCACGTTGCTTCAAAGCCAGTCCTGAAAGCGAGAACCATCAAGGCTTAGAATAGGGCCTAAGGGTCTGCAGGACTGAAAATGGGACTAAGTAAGAAGGAAGAGAAGAGTAGGAAGAGTAGGGGAATGTTGATGGCAAAAGGAGCTAATCGCGTAATTGTGCTCCCAATGTTACCCGTGTCCAAGAAATGTGCGAAAGGAATAAAGAAAAACAATGGTTACAGTCGGTTACAGTATGTGAAATGAGAAAACGGATATGTGCAAAGGAAGTAGGATTGTTTTTTGTTAAGGCCCCGTTCATTAAGCAAAGCCCAAACAGTTAAACACCCTTTTGCTTCTCTTGTTTAAAGAACTATTCATAGGAACAAACCATGAAACATGCCAAGCCAGTGCCAAGCCCCCCAAGCTGCTTCTCCGAGGTGATTTTGAGTGCCATGGCCATGCTTCCATCAGTGTCCTGCTCCTACAGCCGCTCGTCCTCACCCGAGCCGTGGGAGTGGATCCAACGGTTTCGGTGTTCTTTCCATGGTCAGCTACATCCAAGTAGAAGGGTTTATCAGTGGTGAGTGCCTAACGTGAAAACGTCTATCAGCATTGGTGACTTGTAGCCGCTGTAGCCCTTGGCTCCGAGTGAACGTTCCGCTCACGTGGAGTCATTCAGAACCTAGTTCAGAGAATGTAGTAGCGTCCTTGTTACTAGTAGCGATGGCCTCCAACCTACTAGCGATGGCCTCCAACCTAGTATTTAGCGATGACCTCCTCCACCCTAATACTCACTCAATGATTGGCAGCATGTCCTTGGCCAGATGGAAGAACGGCACATCCAATGCGCAAACCAGAGCCTCAAGCTGTTTGCTGTCATCAGGTGGCTGCGCAATTCTGAACATCGGTGAGCTCAACTAATAGCGATGCCCTTTGCTCCTAGTAGCGTCCTTGTTCCTAGTAGTAATGCCAGGAGCCCCTAGTAGCGTCCTTGCTC